CAGTGCGCCCGCGACAAGTTCGCTGACCCGCCTGCGACTCTGCCTTCTCGCCTCGCGAGTCGCGACGGCCTCCTGTCGGGCACCTCGAAAGGACAGAAGCACGTGCAATACTATGTTGTATTGCTATATTATATTGAACGTTTTCTGGAGATGAAAAAGTTCTTTCAGGAAGAAATGAAGAGCACCTTCACCAAGGAAAATCGTACACTCAACTACACACCTTACGAATACGGAAGCTTGATGCATCATTCCAGTATTCAGTCAGTGATTTACACTACTCGTAGTCATTTTTTGAACCTAAGATAGTATTATCTGTGATATACTCGCATTTTCCATGTTCAGCGGTACGATTAGTACTGTTCCTACAATGTCTCCTATGCAGTCGAGATTCATGCGCACTATGGGTGCAACGATAATCTCATTTTACGATATCGCAATGATCAATCACCACTACAAATGCAACGGTAAGTATTTATTGAACGAACAAAGCTGATAAGACATTGCGCTCAAAAATGGAAGTCTAGGTGTGAAACAGACCGATAATAAAGCAAAAAAAAAGAAAAAAAATTAGTGAGAACCGTGGGAATGGAGAACTTCCTTTTGGTAGTGACGACTAAAGTGTAATCAAATTCCATGGAATTTTGTATGACGATGGGTTTTGAGCGCTGGTCACAAATACGAAAAGCAAACTGCACGAAATTACCAGTGGTTATTGCAAGCTTGTTGAGCACTGAGTGCCTGCTAATGCAGATTGGATGTGAGAATTCGCGTAAAAGGACTTACTTGAGACGATACTGTCCCCGATAACGAAGATGGCAACTGTTCTCGGCCCTGGCGCGATATAGGACCAATCTAATGGCGCCAACCTAGAACGCAAATATTCTCACCACGCGGAATTGAGTCTGATTCGATTCTGAGATCAGTCTACACACTTCAACTCCCACCAATTAGTCCCTTGCAAAATGTCTGGCGAGAGGGGAGGGTGGCTATAACTGATCTTCTTCTTCTCCCTAGCGTTAGTCCCGCGCAGTCGCAGGGTTCGCTGTCTTTGTCAGTCGTCGCCACTGTTGTTCTATCCAGGGCGTCCTCTGCTGTGGCCATGACTTCACTTAGATCCTTCTTGATCACATCTCTCCACCTCTTCTTTGGGGCTCCTCGCGGTCGCTTGCCTTGCACTTCGAAGTCCATCGCTGTTCTTATCGGATGATCCTGTGGCCTCCTTAGCACATGCCCATACCATCGCAGACGTTGCTCCCTCACCTTCAGCTGGACAGGGGCAGTCTGCATGACCGCTCTGACATCCTCGTTCCTGACCCTGTCCAGTCGCGTCCAGCCGCAGGCCCACCTCAGCATCCTCATCTCAGCGGAAAGAAGGTGCCTTTCCGTGATTCTCCGTTCAGGGGCCAGCACTCGCTGCCGTACCACAGTCCGGTAGGTGGCGACAGGTAATAGCCTTAACAAACAGGGAAATATTCTATTTTCGTTTATTTCACGCTTTTCTCCTCTCGAATGTGACAGCCCCTAACCAGCTTCGACCACAACCTCTTACGAATTCCTTACCCCACCTCGTTTGTCTTGGCGCGCTACGGACGCTTGACCCTGCTACACTTCCCCATTAGCGCCTTATTTAACCCGGCGTGTTCAACGTGTGAAATTCCTAGGGCTTTCATATTTGCCACTGACGCATAGCACATTCATCGTAGGTGGAAGCGTACACATACCCCGACTCAGCGGTAGCAGGATTCATTGAAAGAACATTACAAGAGCATCAGTTTGCTATACTAGCTCACAGCGGTTCAGCAACAGTAGGTATCGAAGCAGTGATGCTTCATGTTCAGGGATTTACAGAGACTATTTTATAAGTTTCAAAAAACATCGAATCGTTTTCGTTGCAGCTCTTTGTGCTGGTAAAGGAGTTTCGGGTAAATGCCTGAATGGTGGAGTTCCGAATCCGAGAAACTGTAGTTTATGCAACTGCCCTAGCGGCTACGGTGGAGTCCTATGTGGACAAAGGGTAGGTGCTTGTTTATTCAAAAATAGATATGCGATAGATTTAGAGGGGATTATAGGAGACGAGGGGGTGCTCAATGGTACGTCAGTGGCGAAAAAAAAGCAGTGAAATCAGTCAAAAAAGCGCAACACGAGACCTCTTTGTTGGCCGTTGATCTTCGCTCAAGGACAGGCAGCAGCTGAGACGGCGGAAGTACAGACAAGTTCACCGCAAGTCCATGCACATCCATGATCTAGCCGAGTGCTCCCAGTTGTGCCGCTGCTGGCAACACAGCTCGTCCAAATCACCAAGTAAACTAGTGGGCGGATCGCTTTTGGGGCGGAGTGCTTTCGAAGTCCTGCTCAGCAACCAGCGCACCTTTCGTCGTGAAAGCGCCACAACTCCGTTTCCTAGCGGCCAAGCTACTGCTTCGTATAGCGCACTTCAGTGATGCGCTCTCTCTTTATCGTGATCGCCTCCTTTGAAAGCCTGTACACATTCACATTTTTTTATTTAGGAAAAACTTGCTTAGATGGCCTGAGAAAAAATGTTTCAGAAGGCAGGATGTGGTACGACGCTGGCAGCGGCTACTACCTGGAAGGCGAGAACCCTCACCCTCGGTAACAACGCAACCCACTTGCGTGCCTTCCACACGATTTGCAATGACTGGATTACGGTACACATTTTACCTTCACATAGCGTTTTGTAGGCTGTCTCATTCAAGACTACTTGCAGGCACCGGCTGGTAAAAAGATCCAAATTAAAGTGACAGCTGTGAAAGATGTCATCTGTTCTTACGGATGCCCGTACAAGCGCAATCGAACCGAAGATCATGACAGATAAAGCCATGACGAGCCCAAGGTGATCCATTCTTGAGAGAGCATGAACGTCTTGGCACTACTAACTTTTCGTGCCTTTCGAGATAAGGGGCGTCAGAATGCAAAGTCGTCGATTCCGTTACGCAGCTTGCGTTGACACTAGAGCGTCCATACTCGCAGGTGTCATGTGGGGTGGGACGGGGACATTGTTGGTAGGTGATGGAAAGTGGTTACAACTGATAAAGGGCTGATAAGGGGCGTCAGAACGCAAAAGTCGTCGATTCCGTTACGCAGCTTGCGTTGACACTAGAGCGTCCATACTCGCAGGTGTCATGTGGGGTGGGACGGGGACATTGTTTTGATGTAGGTGATGGGAAGTGGTTACAACTGATAAGGGCTGATAAGGGGCGTCGGAACGCAGCTTGCGCTGATACCAGAGCGCCCCTACTTACAAATTCTATTTGCAGTGGTCCGCACACATTGTGCATTGCATGATAGCTCACTAAAAGCTTTCACCGCCCATAACCATCAACTCACAGTCTTCAAGCAAATCGCATACCAGGTTTCCATTTGTAATAGTAATATCAAGTAAGCCCCCGCCCAGACCTCATTAAACCGCTAATCTTTCGGGGCTAAATATTGGTGAGGTAAATCAGAAGGTGATGAAGCGTTAACTCCACTTAATGTGTAAATATGTTCATTTTCATTTTGAGACTGACAGCAATCCTATTCACCGCTAAATTATCTGAATTCAAGAAGAATGGTGGATGTTTACAGTTGTGAGATAAATATGCCAGTTCAGCTCCAGAGACGTTATCACGCGTATTCTCGACGGACTTCAGCGAAGCTGGGAAAGGTCTAACACATTCAATAGTGAGGTGGTTAATGGAGTACCACATGCTGATATTCCATGGGCCCTCCAGTTTCGCTAAAGCCTGCCGTGTGATGCGCGCGATAGCGGGCGGAGCAAAACTGGTAGATATATAAGTTCGCTAAGTTGTTGGTGTGTACAGTGCGTACCAAGATGTGGACATCTCTAAATCGATTCACAGGAGTCAGCCAAAGGCTTTTTGTGGTATGAAATCTTCACCATCAACTCCTAGTGGTCGATAACCTACTATGACATTCTCGGCAAAAGATTTCGTTCTAACTTAGCGAACTATTTTTCATGGAAAGTTTTTTCTTTGTATCAAAATTATGTGGACACCCTGAGGCAGATGAAGTTTTTGCATCGATTTCCTAACCTATTTTTACTTCTCCTTTCGTTACTTATTCTGGCATCATTCCTTCACGGCAAGCGTTTTTCTGAAGAGACCGAGCACAATATTGCAAAATAGCACATCAACCAGTCATGTGTCCTCGCAGGTTTGGATAGAAATCCGAAATTCTGATGCTAAGCTCTCGAGCTTGACTGAGGGTCATTCCCACTGTTTCCGCTACTTGTTCAGAACAACAGAAAAATAGGGCCTTAATTTCCTCAAATTTTTCTTTTCGTACTATTCAACTTCACGCATAAGTGATCTTTCCAGACTCGAAAAACACCAATCGGTGTCCCATTCAATCAATTAAGCACACGACACGAAAGAAGATAAAGAAGGCTTCGTACGTGAATGCGGGGTCGGTTGGCAGTTGGAATGCGCATCATACAAAGAGGATCACAAGCTGATATTCTGTGATCCACAAGAAGGCGCTTTCGTTGGAAGAGGAATAATAGTGAAGATTCCTGTGGATTTTCTTTCATAGAGAACTCGGCTGGGCAAGAAGCTATTCCTCCACTATTCGACGTGGGTTGAGTGTTTTGAGGAGCTTGTCAGATACGCGGCAGGTAGATGTGCTCGAAGAGACAATTCGGAAGATGTTCATCAAAGGTCTGGGGTGGTTCCAAAAGGAGGGGGACATTGAAGTTTGGCTTGCCAACATGTCAGGTAGACGACTAGGATTATAATGAGGTGCTTGAGTCCCGGCTACAACCTTTTTCGAAAAGTCATGGTCGCAAATCACTTGTTTTGCAGGGGAGGTCCCTGACACCATTCCATTTGGAAAAATGCTAAACGCAACGGCTTTGATTGGCAAGTCGGCTAGCGTATTCCTCAGACTTCATCCTTATTGAAAACGTAGAGGTATCGTGGTTCGCGGTCTCTACGTCATTGAACAAAAGAGTAATATCACAAGTGACCTAACACGTCGGTGAAATTTGCTAGTTGGGAACAGATCTGCAAGACATGTATCCAGACCCCATTCATAGCATGCCAAACAGAATGGCTCAACTTACTAGAAACTTTGGTAGGCCTACCGATTTCAGATTCTGAAGATATTGCCGTTTTTCAAAAAGTGTCCACATAATTTTGATACAAAGAAAAAACTTTCCATGAAAAATAGTTCGCTAAGTTAGAACGAAATCTTTTGCCGAAAATATCATTGTAGGTTATCGACCACTAGGAGTTGAATGGTGGAGGTTTCATGACATAAAAGCCTTTAGCTGACCCCTGAGAATCGATTCCAGGGTGTCCACATACTTTTGGTACGCACTGTATATTGTGTGTGTGTGCCGTCTGTTTGTCACGAATTCGTAGCTACGCGTTCGCTGAGGCGTGGAGCGTTGCATTTTAGGATGATATAGGGGTATGGGACGGGAACATGCTTGGGGTCAGAAAGTGATAGCGACTGATTAGGGCTGATAAGAGGCGCTAGAACGCAAATTTCACGAAATTCATAGCGCACGTCCCAGCAGCAGTGGAGTGTTGGTTCCAAGAAGTCATTTGTAGGGTGGGACGGGAACATATTTGGTGGGGGTCAAAAAGTGATAAGGACTGATAAGAGCTGATAAAGGCGCGAAAAGCAAGAGTCACCAAATGAATATCGCGTGTCACTGCAGCAGCGAAGCGTTGGATTCAACAAGCTATGTGAAAGGTGGGACGGGGACATATTTGGTGGTGAACCGAGAATGATAATAGTACATAAGGCTGATAAATATAATAACGAGCTTATGGAAAAGAACATTAGGTCACTTTAGATCTTAATATCAGATAAGAATCACAAGTCGGGACTATTTATCGTCCTACTTTATAATAGTAGTTCGGAAATATCAACGAACACAATAGTGATCAATACTCGGATCCGAGTTACCAATGAATTTTATGCAAGAGTAACGATGAACAAGATTTATTACAAATAAGCAACGAGCCGAGTCAGTTACAAAGTAAAAACAAAGAACACAGGAGCCAGGATATATGAGTGACCCACGGTATTTATAGCGAGCCTTAATGGGCGTGTCGTTGTTCTAATGACCCGGGGTACTTTGCATGTTCTCTCGATCTAAGGGTCGATCGCTCGAGGTATCCCTCCTGCGCATAACCAAAACAACGTATTGATCAAGGTCATGTGCAACAACGACACTAATCAGAATACAGTATTCTACATACTAACATGGGCCCTCCCAAAAAATCGAGCGCTTCCACTGCGCTCTGGTGTGTACGGCCTGCTTCCCACGGTTGTCGCGAAGAGAGCGCCTGAAATCCTTGGCGAGCAAAGGCGAATTATAGTTTGGCCGCGAAAAAGAACGGTGTCTTCTGAAGTTCTCCAACGGTGCTCTCTCAGTTCTTGGCTGGTGATGAGATTGAGTGATGACATTCCTCCTTTGATCGTCGCGTCCACCGAATATCTTTGGTTCTGGTAACCGCTTACACTCGGGCAACCTCAGGACCGCACTATGGTGACGAAGGGTCGCTGTCCAAAATCGTTTTGCGGCGCTTTGCGTAAAGTGGCGCCCCGTCACGAGGCTAAACCTGTCCACGCCAAAATCTTGAAGAGGAGCATCAACCATGTTTCCTTGTGATTTCGTAGCAAAGAAGGCATCGCAATTGGTTTTTGAGGCTAGGTCTCTGTGCGATAGTTTCTTTAGCGAGACCACGGAGCATATCGACGACTTTGTCCAGTCGTTACTGC